AAGCCCCGATGGTGATTCCTATGGCCGCCAAACGGAGGAGGAAATCAAATATGGCCAAACCTCTCTTATAGCCACCTCCTGCGGCTGCTGCCACAAATCCCTTCTTCTTCTTCTCGTCCACTTCGACATGACTTGCACTTTTGGTCACAGTGCTTGGTTCACCGACGTCAATGGTGGTGGACTCTTTAGCCATTCTCTCTTGCAATTGGGATTTGAAGAAAGAAGTTTGTTGTTTGTGTATTGAAGTGATGGGAAACTAATGAAATAGTCAAGTGTTTATATAGTGCTCTGTATTGAGTAATGATATATATATATGTTATAAATAATTAGTAGCTTTTTGTTGATGAGCTTTCATCAAGAAAAATAATAAATATTGAGTTTAGTTGATTAGTTAGAGTCTCGGACGAGGAGTTGTTAGTTTCTTACTTCCTCCACATACCACATAATTGGTTTTGAGCTAATACTTCCAGACAAAAGAAAGCTACTATCTCATATATAAACTAATGAAGTTGGCATCCGTACGCAGGTCAAAAAGCTTACGAACGTGTGATTTATGTTCAGTTTATTCCATGTCAACTGTACAACCGAGCTTTGTTAATTGAAGGACTAAAAATATACTTTCAGATTAGTTGGTTAATTTCAACGAGGCACGGATCCTCCGTATGCTACTAATTCGCATGATCTTGAGCATTCCTTAATTATGTTAAAAATCAATATTGCCATCTTGTTAAGGATCGAGTATTGTGGGACTCTGTTGTGGACCATAATTGACATCAGCATTACTACCATGTATCATATATGCATGTCCGTTAGCTCGTCAAGTCCAGTCCAGCCCAATCCCAAAAAAAAGAAAAATTGAATAAAAGATATGTTAGAATTGTGATACCGTTAGATTAACTGGATCTACGATGTAGAATAATGATTAGTGGAATTTTAAATTATATTGGTCTTAGAAGAAAAGATAAATTCTAGAAACCAAACCCATATGAACTATTGCTGATATTAATCTAGATATAACTAAATATTATGCAAAATTATAGAGAAAAAAATCATTGTCCCAAAAATGTTGTTTTTGTGGAGCATTGGGTTCGGTCCTTCATTTTGGTTTGTAAATGTATAAGTTCTTGCACTTTATATAAGTGTGCGTTTCTATATCTTTCATGATAATCATAAGGCTAAACCCATATGTCAAAAGTTTAGGATAATAATAAAAGAAGGCACTCACGAAAGAAAGTGAAATGGTTGGGTCCACTTTCATATGAACAAAACTAAACACTTTTTTTTATTGCGGCTAACCCTTTCACATTCGAATGGACACTTCGGTTTAATTCAGGTTAGGTTGTTTGATTAACTCAGCTTTAACAATGATTTGGTTCGGTTCAATTCAGATATAGTTTTGGTTCGATTGCATTGCATGTCTCTCATATTTTACATGTGCTAATTTAATATTAGTAAAATACTGAAGGAATGTGGTTGGTAAATTAATGTTTAATATTATGTGGTACATCAAAATCTTCGTATTTCTTAAAGTTTATAGCCAATAAACCAAAGCTAGTTTTACAATATTGAATACAAATAGAGAGTACTGAGTCCAATAGGCAATAACTAAGTAAAATGCAAAACACCATTAACTAGTATTCTTATTTTGTTATTGCTAAGATTATTAGAACGCCTCCAATAAGAGGTTTTTACAGCAACGCCCTAAGAGACGGGTTCTTATATTTCGTTAAGAACCCCTTCATTGAAAATGATCTTAGACCATGTTTATTGAGAGGTGTATAGATGAGTTCTTAGTTTCGGTTAAAATACGTTATTTAAATTTTTAATTGCAAAAAAATTAAAAACTAGCTCTTAAATAAAAGACATTAAAAACCGTCTTTTAGCCAAAAAAAAAAGTTTAATCATGAATTAAAAACACTACCTTAAGAGTTCCCAACAAACATATCTTTGACTAGGAATTTAAATGTTAACTTACTATTTGATAAAAAAAAGAGTTAATTGGCTAAAGTACCCCAAATGGACACCTATATTTGTAACTTACCCATGATTTGACTTAATTATTTTTATGACTATTTTGCCATTCCTCCACATACATGTGACCATGTGGATGTGTCAGTCCTTAATTTTCGTTAAAAGCACACTCTCTCTCTCTCTCTCTCTCTCTCTCTCTCTCTCTCTCTCTCAATTTTTTGATGATATCAATTTTCTGGGTTTTAGATTCGACGGCGTGTTAGCGGTTAACAAATATTGTAGACGTTAACAGAAGTGTTAGTTGTTAACAATTATTTTTACCCTTCGCGTTAATAAATGTGTTCGCTGTTAACAAATATTGTAGACGTTAACAGAAGTGTTAACTGTTAACTGTTAACAATTATTTTTACGCTTCACGGTAATAAATGTTTTGGCTGTTAACAAATATTGTAGACGTTAACAGAAGTGTTATATGTTAACAAATGTTTTTACGCTTCGTGTTAATGAGAGGAAAGAGAAAGGGCATTCTCAGCATTTTCTTGTCAAATGGTTGTGTCAATGTCCTTTATGTCCAATCAATGGTATTTTGCTAATTTGAGCTTCATTTATGGGTAGTTCACTAAATCACTCTAAAAAAAAAGGTTAAATATACTCAGGAGTATATAATATCTGATGACATATGCGACTAATCTACCTTTTCAGTTCAACCCGACTCGATTCGTACCATTCTAGTAGTATATTTATAACCACCACTGAACTAAATTTAACCAGTTTTGTTTGGTAATTAACTATTACCAGATATCTTCTATCAAATACCAATATATTGAGGATTAGGTTATTTACCTCAACTACTGCTTGTAGTGCAAAATAAATAAATAAACAAAAAGATTAATATTAATTAAACATGGTTAGTTTATTATATGATTGTGAATAAGGTTATTGTGGTGAAACCTATAAATTTGTTCTTATGTTTTAAAACTTTCTTAGTAGATAGAATTACATGTGATTGTAAAGTATTTTCACTAGTGTTGCTATTTGCTGGATGCACACTTCATTGGCATTGCCAACCCACTAATGATAATTTCACATGGCCTTTTATTCTGATAAAAAAATATTTTTGTAAAGTTTCTTAATAATTAAAAAACCATATAGATATTCATTTAAAATTTTCTTCATATAATGTAAATTATTTGTTGATTTTTAGTTTCGTTGTTAAAAAAGCTTACCAACTGTTATAATTATGTAGTGGCAGTATATACAGTTGATATAATGTTGTTGAAGCGAAAAGATAAACAACTCACGTGATTAATTGTTCAATTCAAGAAACTCTAAAGAGCTGAATCTTTTTAAATTCGTTTGAGAGAGCGTCGATTGGCCTGCCGAAGATAAGCATTTAGGGAAGGATTATTTCTCTGAGTTTTATGAACTGATCAAGACATGCTCTTACAAAGTCAGCAGAGAAATTAAATCACAGGTGACACTAGAATTTTGACTCTTTAGTTGCTAGGGAAGAAGAACTCAGAGAAATGAAATCACAAGGTATCACTAATCTAATTAGGTCAATGAACGTTTATATATTTATCGCGTTAAACTATACAAGAGCTCATATATTTGTATTGTTATTACGGTATGCAAGGATGAATAGAAACGGAAGGAGTAAACACATATATATACATGCTGCAATAACGTTGTGTTGGCTACGTCTATGCTAAAAACGCTATTAGTTATTACTGAAGGCCAATAACAAATTATTGACTAAATAACTCACCCATATATAACCTAACTTTGTTCGAAAGACTAGACCCTGCAAGAAAACAGAAACTGGAACTTAATTAGCAAAGATCTCGTGAGCATCTAAGGTGTGATCACAGTCAAACATATTAAATATATACGTTTATGCAACGTTTTATTGCCTTGCCAAACATTAGAGGAGCCACTAATAAACACAAGTTGCGAGGAATTGATTTTAAATTTTCAAAGTTAGTGTAGACATAGGAGTGAGTCAGATATCCATAAAGAAAAATATGATAATATGTAGAAATTAGGTCTGATTCATTACACTTGATTTTATAAATATCATTATGCAATGTGGGAGACACCAAAAATACACACAAGTGGCACTAGGTACTTAGTGCTAAGTGAATCTGAAATTATTAGTGTTCGATATGTGATAAACCCTTAGGTAATGAATGAATGTGGATAGAAGTACATATCATGGCTATCGCACATAAACCGAAGGTGTTATTAATGTCATTTTCAAACTTCTTATGACTTTAATTCATTGATGATCGAAAAATATGTTATTGAGGCTTAGTATATGATGCCCATGCCACTAATTAATACTCTAGATGTAGAATCTGAGTGCTTTCTAAACTGATAAGAGATTGTAAATGAACGAACAATCGAATAAATAATGAATGAGAATGTATACTGACAAACAATACTACTTTTTGTATGAACGTCTTAAAACAAACACTTCATTCTTTTTTTTTTTTTTGATAATTCAAGGGTTTCCCACTTCGTGGATCATTCCTCTGGGCCCGGTTAGGCAGCGGTTCACTTCATCCGAAAGGACTTTACCTAAACTGAGGACAAGGCCTAACATCCGGTACCGTATTTGGTGACAAGATTCGGCAGTTCCCCTCCACCTGGCTTCGAACCCGTGAGCATGACAATTAGCTCACAGAGTCTTTACCAAACGAGCTACCTCATCCCGTACAATTTCACTCTTCTGTTTCCAGTGTAGATTTTACTCCCTCATTTATATCTTAAGTATTGGTGTTCTACCATATGATTAATTAATTATATACTTACACAAAAGAATTATTTATAATGAGACAACCACATGCATCAAAGCAAAAAAAAAATTATAGATACACTAGATGGAATTGATAGGTGAGGTTTGGGGCCCAACAACTGAACATTAGGATATCTTATCCTATGTGCAATCAACGCGGTTGGGTCTGGTGAAATGCCTATAAATACGGACATATTCTCAAGCAAACTCATCACACAACAAAGAGTGAAACATGGCTAATCAGAAAAATCTTTTCTTCTTATGTTTCCTACTAGGTTTAGGGTTATGTTCTGCAAGACGAGCACTTCTCTCCTCCTATGAACCGGAGGATGAAGTCGCTGGCTATGGAGACAAGAGTAGTTTGCATGTTGGTTATGGTGTTGGAGTTGATGTTGGTGGTGGTGTTGGTGGTGGCGGTGGAGAAGGAGGTGGTGCTGGTTACGGTGGAGCTGGCGGCATTGGTGGAGGCGGAGGTGGTGGACATGGTGGTGGTGCTGGCGGAGGTGGTGGTGGTGGTCCTGGAGGAGGATCTGGTTATGGAGGTGGAAGTGGTGAAGGTGGTGGAGCTGGATACGGAGGCGGAGGAGCTGGGGGACATGGTGGAGGTGGAGGAAGCGGAGGAGGTGGTGGTGGAGGAGCTGGCGGTGCACATGGTGGTGGATATGGTGGTGGAGAAGGTGCTGGTGCTGGAGGAGGATACGGAGGTGGTGGTGCAGGTGGACATGGGGCCGGAGGTGGTGGAGGCGGTGGAACTGGAGGTGGTGGAGGAGGTGGCGGTGCACATGGTGGTGGATACGGTGGTGGAGAAGGCGCTGGTGCTGGAGGAGGATATGGAGGTGGCGGTGCAGGTGGACATGGAGGTGGTGGAGGCGGTGGAAAAGGAGGTGGTGGAGGAGGAGGTTCTGGCGCTGGTGGAGCTCACGGTGGTGGTTACGGTGCCGGAGGTGGAGCTGGAGAGGGATACGGTGGTGGTGGTGGTGAAGGAGGACATGGTGGTGGAGGAGGCGGTGGTGGTGGAGCTGGAGGTGGCGGAGGAGGAGGTGGAGGTTATGCAGCTGCTGGATCTGGACACGGTGGTGGTGCTGGTAGCGGAGAAGGCGGTGGTGGCTATTAACCGTGAAATTATATCTATTTGGAACGTAAGAGAGCCATTGAGTGAAGTGTTACATAGCTCGCAAGAGACTATATCAATATATATGTGGTAATAAGTACGCTAATCCTCTGTATAATAAGCCCTAAAAACGGCTATTGTTGAAGCTTTTAATTGTACCAATGTTGTATGCTGCTTCGTGTGTGCCAAGTTTATAAAATGAAGATATCACAAGTGTTCCTACTTTTATTTTGCTAATGTATAGAAGATATCAATGAGACGTGCATGGTGAGGATTTACTATGAGTTGTATATATGTTTGTCATGTTCCTATTTTCATTTTACCAATACATGAAGATATTATTGAGACCCTAGGCCCGAGTAAACTCCTACCCAGTAAGATGTGTGCATGGCGTGGATTTACTATGAGTTGTGTATTCGTCCTGTACGTTAGAAATGTAGGGCGATTGAATATAAAAGAAGGTTTGAGATGTTTAAAGGAGATTGATACGGTAAGCCTGTTTAAAGCTTATAAAAAGGAATTTTCACTCCCATGTTCATCTATGTGGGTGAGATGGCTGCGAAAATATTTGATTCGTAAATGAATTACTGGTCGATAAGACGACAAGGAAGACAAATCAAACAAATGCATGGATATTGGATGGAGAGAGAGAGATTATAAAGATGAGATCATTAGCAAAATCTTTTCATAAGATTGGCATTCAAAGAGGAAATAATACACCATTACTGGCATAACGTGTGGTCTAATTTGAGGGGACTCATAATCGGGAAAAATGTCATATAGTATATAGATCTGAGAATCCCAGAATGTGCCATTATAGATGTATGAATTCAAAGATCTGGAAGAGGAAGATATGTATAGGTGAGCTGAATAGTTTTGGAAGATGTCATCAAGAACCAAAAACTACAAATGCTGAGAAAATGAGTATATGATATAGCGCTATGAAGAATGTTAAAAAAGTCAAATACAAATTTTCCTCATTTAGAAACTCCTAACACACATGGAATCAGATTATATTCCAAGAGGAACGTCAAAATAGTATTTTTCCTCATGTAGAAACTTTCAAAATATTGCATACATCCTCTAATATCTCTACATAATTGATTCCTCAATTGTATGTTTTTATGTAACTGTGTGTGTGTGTGTTTGATGTTCTTTTTCAAAATAATTATCAAAAAGATGTGAATTATGTTTAACAAAGTATCTTATTTTAATTTAGAAAGATACTGTAAATTTCACAAGAAAAAATACTACCATTATTTTGAAGAAAAAAAATATATTTTTCACATTTCAAACAAATTCAGATATAAATAAAAAACCTAAATTATGATACATTTTGATCGATGTTCCCCCATGACCCATTGTGGGGGGTAAGAGCACCCCCATTGAGAGTTCAAATGGGGGGTTCACACGGAAACCAAAAAAATAAAATAATAAAATAACAAAAATCTATGAACCCCTCTCTCCTAAAGTTCACCCCGGTGAACCCCTCTCTCATAAGGTTCACCACGTGTCGGTCTGAGATTGGTCTAGGTCTTTTTTTTTTTTTTTTTTTTTAAAAAAAATCAAAAAAAAAACAGAAAAATTTTAATAATAAAAAACTGATTCAATGAACCCAGAGGGGGTTCATTGATGTGGATGCTCTAAGTGGGACTTAAGAGTACATAACAAATTAAAAACGATAATGGACTTGCAATTAGGCCCAAATGCTCTGGGAATCTCGGGTCATGACCCATGATTAAGAAAGAATCAGATCCGACCCGACAAGTACATTAAAAAGAGTAGAGTTAAACGCGGTTCCTGACGAGTCGCTACTCTCTCTCCCGAAAAAATGACGGCGAGACCTGAAGGAAGTCCGCCGGAGGTTACACTAGAAACCTCCATGGGTCCGTTCACCGTCGAGGTTTGTCTCTCTCTCTTACTCACACTTGAGATCTAGATTTAGGGTTTTAGAAAGGGGTTTAGGGTTTACAGTGATTTTGATTTTGAATTTTTACTTCAGATGTATTACAAACACTCACCGAGAACTTGCCGGAACTTCGTGGAGCTATCACGGAGAGGTTACTATGACAACGTTCTCTTTCACAGAATCATCAAGGTCTCTTCTTTTTTTTTTTTTTTCTAATTTTGAGTTTTGTTTTTTCCTTTGAGAGATCGCTGTGATGATGAAAGTTTGTTCCTTTTGGTATTCATTTTGTTTCAGGATTTCATTGTGCAAGGTGGAGATCCTACTGGAACTGGAAGGGGTGGCCAATCCATTTACGGGTATATTCTCTCTAAAGACAGTCTTTTCTTTGATTAATTCCATGAATGTGTTTGTAAAGTAGCTTCATTAGGGTTTTAGATTGATACACTCAAGACTAGCAGAGATTTTGAATTTGGGATAAAAAACGTTATTTAATAACTTATGAACATGTTATGTATACTCTCGACTAACTAGCACAAGATTGTTTAGATATATCAACTTAGTTGACATTATTGTTTTTTCGTTTCATTCTTGTTGTAGAGGCTTGTGAACTACTTTCTAAGCTTAAAGATATTTACTTGTCTTATGTATTTGATAGTTCCAAGTTTGAGGACGAGATAAAGCCGGAGTTGAAGCACACGGGAGCTGGGATTTTGTCAATGGCAAACGCTGGTCCTAACACCAATGGGAGTCAGTTCTTCATCACTTTAGCACCAGCACCCTCCTTGGACGGTAAACACATCCATCTCTAGAAGAAACAAGGGTTTTTGTTTTGCTATGATGTTTTGGGGGATGTTATGAAGAGAAATGTCACTTAATATTGATCTCTCTATGTTTCATCTTCCAGGAAAGCATACGATATTTGGCAGAGTCTGCCGTGGTATGGAGGTGATCAAGAGGCTCGGTAGTGTCCAAACCGATAACACCGACAGGCCAATCCATGAAGTGAAGATTCTGAGGACCAAAGTGATTGATTAGAAGCAGCATTAGTAAACGATGTTGACATGAAGAATTATAACTCTGTTCTGTGATCAGTGCTACTACAATGGGACATGAAGAATTATAACTCTGTTCTGATTCTTGCTACTACAATGGACTGGTTTTTTTGTCAAGTTTGATTTAAATCAGTTCATTATCTCTGTTTTTGTAATATGGATCGTTTCTGTTGAAAATCATCTTATCCTAATTTCTCTATGCAGTATGGGATTGATTTCATCATACATTTGCACAAATAATCGAATATAATAGCAAATGCTTGCCGGTGATGAACTTCTGGGCACTCTTCTTTTTTGTATTAATATATTGAATGTTAGAGCATGCAAAGCTGGAATAGCTCAGTTGGTTAGAGCGTGTGGCTGTTAACCACAAGGTCGGAGGTTCGACCCCTCCTTCTAGCGGTGATCTTTTTTTCGAATACGACTAGTTAATTTTTGTATGTCAGTTGTAATAATACAACTATAACCAGATGACAGTTTGGCCGAGTGGTCTAAGGCGCCAGATTTAGGCTCTGGTCCGAAAGGGCGTGGGTTCAAATCCCACAGCTTTCATCAACTTTTTTTTAATTTTAAATTCATGAAACGACATCGTTACTTGAGGCTGTTCAACAAACGAATGTTAAGTACACTCAGCCCAAGAGTTAAGATTCAGCCCAAAACATATATCAAAACCCTAAACGAAAGAGGCTCACTCAGAAACCCTAATTATAAAAATCAATTTATTTTTTCATCCCGCATCCTCTTCCTCTCTAAAGCCAAGGCCGAAACTACAGAAGCAAGAAGTGACATTACTCTGATCTTTAACAATGGTAAGCGTCTTTGTAAAGCTTCACCATTTCTTTGATTATACTACATGTTAAGGTCTTCGTTATATGAGTTTTGAATTGGTAAAGTATGAGATTTGCTCTGATCTTATTATGTTTAATGGTCAAACTCAATCTGTGATGGTTAATTGATCGAATAAAAGTAATGAATGTTGTAAGTGTTATTGTTTTGTATAGTCGAGGAGAAAGACGAGAGAGCCTAAGGAAGAGACAGTGACACTTGGACCAGCTGTTCGTGATGGAGAGCAAGTCTTTGGTGTTGTCCACATCTTCGCTTCCTTCAACGACACCTTCATTGTCTGTTTTTTTTCTCACCAACTTATCTCTATAATAATCCATTATCATGTATATAGGAATCTTACATTGTATCTCTAATACATTTTGCAGCACGTTACTGATTTATCTGGACGTGAAACCCTTGTTCGTATCACTGGTAAGAATTCGATTGATTCTTTTCTTAAACAAATGCCTCTATATGATATATTAAGACACATGTTGTAGTTGTTGCTGTTGGTTTTATTGTCCTCGTGTTCTTTAGTTGGTGTTATATTGAGTGTTACTTAAGTCTCTCAACTTCTCTTGAGTTTTGTTTTTAGTACCCTTAGGGCATTTTTTTTTGTTGTTGTGAGAACACAACTAGTAAGCTACATTGCTAATGTATTTATTTTTGGATCGGTTTAGGTGGGATGAAGGTGAAAGCTGACAGGGATGAGTCCTCACCTTACGCAGCTATGCTTGCTGCGCAAGATGTTGCTCAGAGATGCAAGGAGCTTGGAATCACCGCTATGCATGTGAAGCTCCGTGCCACTGGTGGAAACAAGACCAAGACACCTGGTCCTGGTGCTCAATCCGCTCTTAGAGCTCTTGCCCGTTCCGGCATGAAAATTGGACGCATTGGTATGTTTCGTACGTTAAATTTAATCTACAATCAAGACTTGGTTCAATGCGCGTCTTTGACTCTTGATCGTTTCTAAATGTACTTGTTGCAGAGGATGTTACTCCAGTCCCTACGGACAGTACCCGCCGAAAGGGTGGTAGAAGAGGAAGGAGGCTCTGAGTTTTCTTCTATGGCTATTTAAGCTCATGTGTTTCATTTTGTCTTGAACCATTTCTTTTGAGTTTTGTAAACTGAGTTTCGAAGTTGAATGCTTTTGTTAAATCTTAACAACATTTTTATACTATTATTAGTCCTTATGAATGACGTCATTAGTTTCCAAAAATACACTGAAATCTATAATTATATCCTGTTTGTCAACATTCATCATCTTTGCTGGTAGGAAAATGCATCTAGACTATCAGTATAAGACTCTGATTGTTCCAAATTTCAAGCCGTTAAGACTTAAAAGAGTTCAACATCAAACTTTCTTCAATAAAACTTGAGCAATGAATAATGTACTGCATACATCATCTCCTGTGCAATATCTGCAAACAAAAATTTCACTTGTATGCATGCAAAAATTTTATTCTTTAAGCAAAGACAAAAAAGACATGGTATTGTATCCGGCAGTCTCGTCCTACTTGTGATTGGCACAAAGGAGTTTGGTTTTCCCAATCTACTCCCAAATTCTCCTTCATTTTGTGGGTAGCAATTCACAATAGGCTTCCAACCTGTGATAGAATGCAGCAATGGAATAGTGATGTCGATACTCGTTGTGTGCTGTGTGATGATGGTTTGGAAACTTGTCAGCACCTGTTCTTCAATTGTAAGTATTCTGCGGCTATTTGGAAAGAGCTAGTGGGTGGTATTTTAAAAGGTAGCTTCACTACTGATTGGGATGAGAATTTGACTATCATCTCTCGGCCAGATAGGAGGTTTAATGCTACTGAAATCTTCCTTCTAAGATACTCTTTCCAGACTTTGGTCCATAGTATTTGGAGAGAAAGAAACTATAGAAGGCATGGTGAAGATCCAACTGATGTGACTGTGTTAGCCAAATGGGTTGACAAACTAATCCGGTTGAAGTTGTTGGCAGTTAAAGGCAAAGGACAATCTTATTTGGAGCAGGGACTTAGTATTTGGTTTGGCTCCCGCATGGACGTTGCTGTGTGATTTCGCTTTTTCTTGGAGGTTCTTTGGTGTTTCTCTGTTTTGGTTGCAGACTCTGTTGGGATTGGTGCAGGTTTCTCGTGTTGTTAGTTGTTGTGCAGGGTGGTCTGTTCTCTTCCTCGGTGTTTTTTTCTAGCTTCTGTGGTCTGCTATGGGCTAGTGTTGGGAGGCTTGGGAGTTTTGGAGTTTGGTGGTTCTTCTCGGTTTTTTTGCTTTGGCTGCTCACTATCACTCTCTTGATCATGTTGGCCTTTACTCTTTTTCCTTATTGAAGTTTTGTCCCATTGGGGTTTTCTTTAATAAGGTTTTAATGAGGAAGGTCTCATGATCCCTCCAAACTTGACTTGTTCCACATGGTTAAGTTTGAGGGGGAATGTTGTGATGCTTGTTGGTTTTTGGTTTTCTTTAATAAGGTTTTATAAATGTTTGTTCTCTTGCAAATGTTTCTCATCTTTGTAGCACTTGATGCAAAACAGTTTTGATTGAATACAATTTTACATTCTTTCAAAAAAAAAACAAAAATGAAGGTTTAGGCTCTGAAACTCAAATGTGTAAGGTTTGTGGGAAAGGTCCATAAGTTAGTGGGCTTAAGAAATGATGGCCCATCAAAAAAAAACCCTATAAATGGACTATAAATAGTTTTCCTCTTCACTCATTTCAAGCTTTTCTGAGACTTGCGGCGGAAAAGAAGATGCAGATATTCGTGAAAACGCTGACGGGGAAGACCATCACCCTCGAGGTGGAGAGCAGTGACACCATCGACAATGTCAAGGCCAAGATCCAGGACAAAGAAGGTAATAAACTCTGTCTTTTTAAAAGTTGTAAACTTGTGATCTCTTATGGATTCGTTTGTTACTCTGTTTTCAGGAATCCCACCGGATCAGCAGAGGTTGATCTTCGCCGGAAAACAGCTTGAAGATGGTCGCACCTTAGCTGACTACAACATCCAGAAAGGTTCAAAAACGATTCTTTCAATCTCTCTCTCGAAAATGAAGTTGTTTGTATGTTAATTAAGTGCTCTGTTTTTTTGGTGTAAAACAGAGTCTACTCTGCATCTTGTTCTGAGGCTTAGGGGAGGTATCATCGAGCCGTCTTTGATGGCTTTGGCTCGTAAGTACAATCAAGACAAGATGATTTGCCGCAAGTAAGCTTTTTTCTCTCCAATGTCTTTTTTTTGTTTCCTGAATGTGATACTATATTTGAAGAATCTAGTTTAGTATTAGAGTAATGGTGGAGTTTTGAATTATCATCTCATTGTCTTTTTGTATTGTTACTTGTTGTTGTTAGTGTGTCTAATTAGTTATCTTGTATCTGAAAAGGGTTTATGACAAATTCTCATTTTTCCATATTTAGAACAAGTTAATCATTCAAGTGTGTTCTTGTGGATACGAGTGTGTCTTTTCTTATATGTGATGATGTGAGTGTCTTTTGTGTCTCATGTTGAGTAATAATATGTTTGATTTATTAGGTGTTACGCTCGTCTGCACCCAAGGGCTGTGAACTGCAGGAAGAAGAAGTGTGGCCACAGCAACCAGGTTTTGTTTCTCTCTCTCTCTTTTCATCAATTTGTTAGAGCTTTTATTTTTGTGATGACTTAACTAAATGATGATTTCTTATTCGTTTTTGCAGTTGAGGCCGAAGAAGAAGATCAAGTGATCTGTTCTTCACCAGAAGCTCAAGCTCATTTATCTATGTTCTCTTTTCTTTAAAGACATCTCTAGTGTTTTGACACAAACTTGTTTCAGTGAATTTTAATCCTAAAAGGTTGTTAGTAAATCTGATTATCTTCGGTTCAGTTTGGTATCAAACCACAGATTTTTGTTGGTTCTTAATTATATCTCACGAAAATAGAATAGATGACGACCGCTACAAGCCTACAACCCCAATGACTAACCAATTATCAAATTGTCTATAAGAAAGTAAGTTGATGCGCATGCAGTAACTGTGAAAAACATCAAAAAATAAAAGAAGACATCAGTACATAAGCTTATCTGTATGAGTATCACCATATCGTGGATTGTTCTGCTTTATTGATGGTTCTACTTTCTAAAATGAATGACCAAACATATTGGTTCTGACCTAATGTATACAACACAACTAGTATCATAAGATATTACTTTAAGCTTTACATAAATGCACAAAACAAGATGGTAAGAAAACCCCAACTGAATAGCTGCTCAGTTGTAAAGCTTTGGAAAACTAGCGTGATCAAAAAGATGTCCATAATTACACTCTAAAAAGTAATAGAGGATTCTCCCATGCTCATGATTTGCAGAAATTTTCCTGGTGCTGTGAGAAAATGAATCTTTTTAAGTGGCACAATGACTAGATTTCCCACTGAAAATGTTCATCATTGGGTTCTGGTAGCATCATCTTGATTGAGTCAAGTGATCAAGGCCCTGTTCGTTTGTACATCTGAAAGATGCATCCAGATGGTCCATCTAGATGCCTTATCCAGATGCTCCATCTGGATGTTGTTCGTTTCTCTATTTCGTCTATATATCTAGATGAATCATCTAAATGTAACTATGTTCTTTTGTTTTTTTCAACTTGCATCTGCATCCAGATGGATTTGTTAATAAAATGAATAAA